CCCCCCGTGGGCCTGGAGATCTCCCAGAATTATAACGGATAGAGAGGGCGAGGTGCAGGAACTGAGTGGGGTCTTCACAGGCGTCTGCACTGAGAGGAAGGGCCAGTGCAGGGCCACGCACACATTTCCTACTACACATTCCCATGGGGGGGTGGGGGGGTTGGAGCCAGTTGCTGGAGCTCAGTATTGAGGTGGGAACCAACAGCTGGAAAAACTTTATACTCCAGAAGTAGGAAGATGCTGGAGGGGAAATGAGTTACAAATTCCAGTCTCTGCTTTCTTCACCAGGTCAAAAACAGCTATGCCACTACAGGGAAGATTTGTAACTGGTCTCCCCCTCATTTCCTGCCCTGTTAAAAAGCAGGTACGAGGGATCTCTGAACTGGTTTGGGGTTGTGGCCAAAGTTCCCTCTAAGCAGCGGAGTCTTGTGAGCAAAAATTCTGCTTTGTGAGCTACTGGTATTAAAGCTGTGAGCAAACAATTTGGCTGCTGCATAAATTAGTTTGCTCTGGAGCCCTCCTTTCCTGAGCGAAGGCAAAAGTGTGTGAGCTGGAGGCTAAAAAACTGTGAGCTAGCTCACACTAACTCAGCTTAGAGGGAACACTGGTTGTGGCCTGGGGTTTGGGTTGCGGTGGGGTGTTGTGGGGGGTTAACTCTTTCCTTCGGTGCTCTTTGCTTCCTCTAACTGAGGTGGGGGACATCTGGGGGTCCGGCGAGGGGAGGGCTGCTCTCTCCCCCCCCCCTTTCTGGATTCCAGGTTTCCCGCAAACGTCCGGAGAAGATTGTTGCAGTGAGGCTGCCATTTCTGTGAGGGGGGACGGATCCATGTCGCCTGGAGGAGACCAGTTGTAATTCTAGGAGGTCTCCAGCCACCAGCCTGGAGGTTGGCAACACCCTATCTAGCCCAGTATCCTTTCCCCCAACAGGGGCCAGTAAGGGAAGCCCGCCAGCAAGAACAAACTGAAGCCTCAAAGTTGTCCTTTTAGAAATTATGCTTTGCCCCCTAGTGCCACTCTGTGCCTTTGAAGGACACCCTCCCCTTCCACTTGGGGAGGGGGGAGGCAGATCTCAATGGGGAGGGGGGGTGCAATCTCCACACCTTTGCTGAACCTGGTAAGGCTTGCCCACCCACCTCCTCTGCTCCACCAAGAGCAGGAGAGAAGCTCCGAGGATCAGGCAGCCCGAGTGAGAGATGCGCCCTTAGAAAGAAGTCTTCTCCTTCCTTTTGGGAGCTGGGGCAATTTGTCAACAGTGGGAGGGCTTCTAATGTCCTGGCCCCACTGGTGGACCTCCTGAGGGCACCTGGTGTTTTTGGCCACTGTGTGACACAGAGGGTGCGTTCAGACGGGGGATTTACAACGGTTAGGGTGCCGGTTCCAACCGGTGTACTTACGGGCGTTCAGACGGCGAACATCTGCCTCCCCTCCCTAACCGTTGTAAATCCCTTTAAACTGTTGCACTCTGCCACTAGGTCCGAAGTGGTGGTAAACAGAGTGCAACGGTTGTAATTGGTGCACCCGGCGTCTGATCGCTCTCCTCCGTTACAGAGACACTTCTGACGGAAGCCTGAGGCTTCCGGCTTTCCCCGCCATTTTTTTAAAAGAGGAAGCGATATGCGCTCAGGCGAAGCTTCGCCCTGAGCGTTTGTTTAAAAAAATAATAAAAATGCCTTACTTTAACTTCCCGGAGGAGTCCGGGACTACAGCGAGGCCAGGTTGGGTTTTAAACTTTAAAGGTAAAGACAGGAGGTAAGTCTGATCGCGTTTATGCCGGCATAAACTGCACCGGTTCCAACCGATGCAGTTTATGCCGGCAGAAAGGCCGCGTCTGAACGCACCCAGAGTGTTGGACTGGATGGGCCTTTGGCCTGATGCAACATTGGTGTCTCTTATGTTCTTATGTCAACTTGCATTCTGATGGGAACTAAAACGATCGCATGGATTTGGTGCAAGAAGAGAGGGGGATTTCAGGGACACGCCAGCTGTGAGAAATGTGGGCTAAGCCCCTCTTTCTCTCCCTCTTGGTGGTGGTGGTTGTGGAAAGCACCGTGGGGTCACAGCCAACTTATGGCAACCCTGCGGGGGTTCTGAAGGCAACAGACGCTAAGAGGCGGTTTGCGACGGCTTGCCTTTGCCTCATGACCCTGGTATTCCTTGGCCGTTCCCCACCCACGTCCTAACCAGGGCTGACCCTGCTGAGCTTCTGAGATCGGATGAAACCGAGCTGGCCTGAGCCGTCCAGTTCAGAGACGGCTTCCCAGAGCCCCTGCATAGGAACCCCTCCCATCCCAGGACTCACCAGGCCTGACCCAACTTAGCTTCCAAAATACGATGCGGTCAGGCAAGCCTGAACTACCTGAGGCAGGGCTTTCCTTTCCGTCTTGCAGGCATTTAAACTTGGGAATAGATGGAGGAGCAAACCGGTCGGTAAGAGGCACAGGCTTTCGGCCTCCTTCTGTGGCCCTGAGTAAACCAGCCCAGGATATGGATTTTGCTGTACATTGGGGGTGGGGTGTGTGTGTAGATCTAAGTTGTATTTTTGTTTGTCCGTAAGATGCTTTGAGGGGGAAAGGGAGACAGAAATCTGCAATGAAATAAGTTTCACACTGAGCTTTGACTCTCAAACGCTTATACCCTGGAAATCTTGCTGGTGTCCAGTGCTCCCTCTAAGCTGTGGGGTCTTGTGAGCAAAAATTCTTACTTGTGATCTGCTGGCATTAATGTTGTGAGCAAGCGATTTGGCTGCTGCATACATCAGTTTGCTCTGGAGCCCCATCCTTCCTGAGCGGAGACAGAAATGTGTGAGCCAGAGGCTAGAAAACCGAGCTTGCTTTGAGGGGGAAAGGGAGACAGAAATCCGCAATGAAATAAGTTTCAGGGGATGCATGCACGTGACATCTGACACACTGAGCTTTGACTCTGAAACGCTTATACACTGGAAATCTTGCTGGTGTCCAGTGCTCCCTCTAAGCTGTGGGGTCATGTGAGCAAAAATTCTGCTTTGTGAGCTGCTGGCACTAATGTTGTGAGCGAGCGATTTGGCTGCTGCATACATCAGTTTGCTCTGGAGCCTTCCCTTCATGAGCGGAGACAGAAATGTGTGAGCCGGAGGCTAGAAAACTGAGCTAGCTCACACTAGCTCAGCTTAGAGGGAACACTGGACTAATGATCCCTCTAAGCCGTGGAGTCCTGAGAGCAAAAATTCTACTTGGTGATCTACCGGCATTAAAGTTGTGAGCCAGTGATTTGACTACTGAATAATTCAGTTTGCTCTGGAGCCCCATCCTTCCTGAATGAAGACAGAAGTGTGTGAGCTGGAGGCTAAAGAACTGTGAGCTGGCTCACACTAACTCAGCTTAGAGGGAACACTGCTTGAATCTACAGCTAAATAGAAGGTTTCCAAGGAAACCGGACACCGAAATCCCGTTGGGCAGCAGCTTCTGCAGCTGAGCTGCCCTAGTCAAGCTCCAACCAATGACCTATGAAGAGGGTCTTAATCTGTCACAGGACACATAGAAGGCCTACAGATGCTTCCTATCCTACCAACATCTAACAAGGTCGAATCTGCATTTGCATTTTTTAATCAGTCTCGTGCTGCTGTGACGCCGTCTTTCTCTAGGCTTGTTTGAATGTTGTTTGGAGAAGATTCTTTTAAAGCAGTGCGGAGGCGCAATGACAGTGGAGCCGCCACAAGAGGGCGAAAAACATATGCAGACATGCAAGTTGTATGCTAGCACTGTTGAGGTGTGAAAACGAAACCAAATGTAGACAGCTATTATTGAAGATGGTGTCAGAAGGCTGGGACACTGGTGGGGAAAGACAGATGCAGATTCGACCAAGAAGTGTACCAGGCTGCTCTGGACCGATGCTATTTGCTGTTGCCATCTTGTTTTATTTCATTGGTTTTAACTGCATATTTAGTGTTTTATCCTTGTCGGGAGCCGCCCTAAGCCTATCATGGGAATAAGCGGGATATAAATGCAACAAACAAACAAACAAACAAATAAATAAAATACCTGGAACCCCACCCCCCTGTCCACTGCATGCTCTTGGTCACTGTTCCCTCTAAGCAGAGTGCAGGGGGTTGGACTAGATGACCTGCAAGGTCCCTTCCAGCTCTTACATTCTATGATTCTAAGCTGAGCTAGTGTGTGCTAGCTCACAGTTTTTTAGCCTGGGGCTCACACATTTTTGTCTCTGCTCAGGGAGGATGCAAACTAATTTTTGGAGCAGGCAAATCGCCCACTCACAACTCTAATGCCAGGAGCTCGCAAAGTAGGATTTTTGCTCGCGAGACCCCACAGCTGAGAGGGAGCCTTACTCTTGGCCTGTGCCTCTTGTGGTCTGGTTTCCAGGTGGCCTGACCGTCATGGGGGCTGGGCCGCAGAAGAGGACCCTGCGACTCCGCTGCCGCTGAGCAATGGCCTCTGCCAATCTGACGCCCTCCAACCCCTCCGCGTTCCTGCTGCAAGGCATCCCGGGGCTGGAGGCCTACCACAAGTGGCTCTCGGTGCCTGTGTGCGCCATCTACATAGTGATCATCGCTGGGAACTGCACCCTCCTCCTGGTCATCGCGACCGAGCCCGCCCTGCACAGGCCCATGTGCTACTTCCTCTGCATGCTGGCCACCATCGACTTGGCCGCCTCCACCTCCGCCCTGCCCAAGGTGCTCTGCATCTTCTGGTTCCAGGGCGGTGAGATCCAAGCCGGTGCCTGCCTGGCCCAGATGTTCTTCATCCACGCCTTGTGCATGATGGAGTCGGCCATCCTGCTGGCCATGGCGCTGGACCGCTACGTGGCCATCTGCTTCCCGCTCCGGTACAGCTCCGTCTTCACGGGGGCGCTGGTGGCGAAGATGGGCGTCGCTGCCGTCGCCAGGGGGACGCTGCTGATGGCCCCTTGCCCATTCTTGATCAGGAGGTTGTCCTTCTGCCGGACCAACGTCATCCGTCACACTTACTGCGAGCACATGGCGGTGGTCAAGCTGGCCTGCGGGGACACCAGCGTCAACCGCACTTACGGGCTGTGCGTGGCGCTGCTGGTCATCGGGGGAGACCTGCTGTTCATCGGCCTCTCCTACTGCCTGATTGTCCGCGCGGTCCTGCGGCTCTCCTCCCACGAGGCCAGGCGCAAGGCCTTCGGCACCTGTGGCTCCCACCTCTGTGTCATCCTCATCTCGTACAGCCCTGCCCTCTTCTCCTTCTTCACTCACCGCTTCGGCCACCACGTGGCTCCCCACATCCACATCATCCTGGCCAACCTCTACCTCCTCTTCCCTCCCATGCTGAACCCCATCGTGTACGGAGTGAGGACCAAGGAGATCCGGGAACGGGTCGTCAGGGTCTTCCTGCCAGGAAGGGACACCACCAAGTCCAGGCCTGACTGAGTCTCCAGCCCCCTTGAGCTGCAGCAGTGATGAGTGGGGATTAAGTCTGGGCTGACTCTTCAACCTCACAAAGAAACCAGAGAAGATCAAAGCATCAGTAGTGGCTCAGGAGCCACGTGTGACTCTCCGGCAAGCCACTGTGGCTTTTCTGACCACGTTCCGGTAAGGGGTCCAATGGGAGTGGTTTCATCATTACTGTGGGCCCAAGAGAGCGCTAACGGCTTTACTTTTAAAATATTTTAAAATAACTGTGAAGACGTGTGCGTGTAAATGAAAGCTTATCCCCTGAATAAAACTTTCCTGGTCTTAAGGGTACCAACACTGGACTCAAACTTTGTTCCGCTGCTTCAGAGCGACACGGCGACCCCACCTGGACCTATTTTTAAAAACTGGTTCGATAGGACTATTTCAAAGGTGTGAAGGTGCAGAGGGTTCTGTGTGCAAGTCTGGGTCGACACACGGCAGCTGAATGTGGAAGTGGAATAGGGGCACACGTACCATACGTTCTGTCAAGTCACAGCCAAATTGTGGTGACCCCAGCTTCCAAGGCAAGTGAGAAGTTGAGGTGGTTGGCCATGGCCTTCCTCTACAGAGTCTTCCTTGGTGGTCTCCCATCCAACCACCAACCCTGCTTAGCTCCCAACTTATGGTGACACCAGCAGGGGGATTTCAAAGCAAGTGAGAAGCTGAGGTGACTGGCCATGGCCTTCCTCTGCAGAGCCTTTCTTAGTGGTCTCCCATCCAAGTACCAACCCTGCTTTGCTCCCAACTTATTGTGACCCCTGCAAGGGGCTTCCAAGGCAAGTGAGAAGCAGGGGTGGTTGGCCATGGCCTTCCTCTGCAGAATTTTCCTTGGTGGTCTCCCATCCAAGTACCAACCCTGCTTAGCTCCCAACTTATGGTGACCCCAGCGAGGGGCTTCCAAGGCAAGTGAGAAGCAGAGGTGGCTGGACACGGCCTTCCTCTGCAGAGCCTTCCTGGATGGTCTCCCATCTAACTACCAACCCTGCATAACTTCTGAGATTTTATGAGAGAGGGCTATACCATTTCAGTTTTCTTCTGCAAGAATGGGGCATACCATGATGGAATAGAAACCCTTGGGGGGGGGGAGACAAAAAACCTTGCAAGTCGAAAACAGAGCACAGAGATCCGAGCCCCTCCCTCCTACTAGAGTCAACCTTGAATGGAACTTTTAACATAAAGAAACAAGTTCTGTTGTTGATGGGGGAAAGGTATGAGATTGCAAGCCAGTCTGAGACTCCTTAGGGTACAGGAAAGTGGGGTAGAAAAGCCTACTACTTCATTACGGTTGAGAAAAGATTTCCTTTGGTCGGTCGTGAACCTATTTCCCAACAATGTCATTGAGTGCCAGTTTGATGTAGTGGTTAAGTGTGTGGACTCTAATCTGGGAGAACCGGCTTTGATTCCCCACTCTTCCACTTGTACCTGGCTGGATGACCTTGGGCAAGCCATAACTCTGGCTAGAGGTCATTTCGGGGGGATCGCGGGGGAACACAGTTCCCCCGGGTGAGGTGTGGGGGGCGAGGCACACAACAAAGCCACACCCCCTGCTTCCGGCCGCCCACTTCCGGCCCTCATTCAGCCAGGAGGAGGCAGGAGAAGAGGGAGGGTAAGTTGCCTCCTCCCCGCCTCTCCCCACCGCTCCCCACCCCTGCCTGCCTGGGGCCAGGGAGGGCCTTGGCGGGGCTTCCTCGCACTCCCGCCGGCCTTGCAGGGGGTGTGGCATATGCTAATGAGTTATGCTAATGAGTTCCCCTAGCTCTTTTTCTATGAAATGACCCCTGACTCTGGCACAGCTAGAGCAGTTTCTGTCAAGAGCTCTCTCAGCCCCACCGACCTCACAGGATGTCTGTTGTGGGGAGGGGAAGCGAAAGGAGTTTGTAAGCTGCTCTGAGACACCTTTGGGTAGTGAAGGGTGGGGTATAAATCCAATCTCTTCATCTTCTTCTCTGCCTTTTATAAACTTCTATGATGTTGCTGATGCACTGAATCAATAAAGGCCACCACAAAGACCCTCCATTTGCAAGACCCGAGCAAGGCTGTTAATGAGAGGGTGGGCTCTTTACTGCCGGAGCTCGGCTCCTGTGCGCGCCTGCAGGAAATGACCCCTGCTGATCTCTATGGTCTGACGATGACCTGGAGGTTGGGAACCCTGCTTGATGGCACCTCTCTCTCTCTCTCTCTCTCTCTCACACACACACACACACACACACACACACACACATTATATGCCAACTTTTTTTCTATACTGAGAGTGTAGAATCTCTAGCCATCCCTCATCGGAAAGGTGCTTATTGACACCCATCAAAATATTATTTATTTTTAATCACTTATTCATTTTTCAAATTTATATTCCACCCTCCACACAAGCGGCCTCAGGGCAGATCACAACATGATATCAAAACGTATGAACACTTCAACCTTATAAAAACAGATATAAACAACTTAAAAGGTAAAGGTAAAGGTTTCCCTTGCTCGAAAACCAGTCGAGTCCAACTCTAGGGTTGCGGTGCTCATCTCTATTTCAAAGCCGAAGAGCCAGAGCGCTGTCCGAAGATGTTTCCGTGGTCATGTGGCCGGCATGACTAAACACCAAGGTGCACAGAATGCTGTTACCTTCCCACTGAAGTGGTGCCTATTTATCTACTTGCCATTTCTTGCTTTCAAACTGCTAGGTTGGCAGGAGCTGGAACTAGAGACGGGAGCTCACTCCGTCATGCGGCACACTCGGGTCTCGAACTGCTGAACTACCGACCTTCCACAGCCTGCAGTTCAGCATCTTAACCACTTGAGCCACCGCAGCTCCATATAAACAACTTAAGACCATTTAAAACAGCATAAATTAAAACAGAGCGCACTATTTAATCCTCATACAGAGGTTTCCAGCTGGTGCCATTGGTCTCTCGAATTTCTTAACCTGGGCCACGTGAGATGGTAACTTCAGCTTCAGCCGCTTCAGCAGGGGAGGCTAAGATCTTATTCGACGCGTGCCGCCTCAGCCACAAGGCCTGGTGGAACAGCTCCATTTTGCAGGCCCTGCGGAATGGTAACAAATCCCACAGGGCCCTGATCCCAGGTGGGAGCACGTTCCATCAGGCAGGGGCCAGGGCGGAGAAGGCCCTGGCCTTGGTCAAGGCTAAGCGGACCTCTCTTGAGCCAGGGATCACCAGGACGTCTTGATTCGCAGAGTGCAGTGCTCTCCGGGCCCCATATGGGGAGAGGTGGTCCCTTAGGTGTGTTGGTCCCAGGCAGCGCATGGCTTTAAAGGTTAACCAGGGCTATTTTTGGGCAGAAACGCACAGGAACGGAGTTCCGGCTGGCTCCCGAGTTGGCCACGCCCAGCAGAAACTCATTAGCATAATAGACCACACCCAACAGCAGACACTCATTAGGATTGGCTATATTAGGGGTGTGTGGCCTAACATGCAAAGGGTTCCTGCTACAAAAAAAGCCCTGGTTTGACAACAAACAAGGTAAACCGAATAAGAAGCAAAAGGTGGGCGTGGCTGGATGACCACAGTTCTGGTAATGTGGGGGTGTGGCCTAATATACTAATGAGCTGTGCACTCAGGGGTGTGGCCTAATATGCTAATGTGTTTCTGCTGTTGGGTGTGGCCTATTATGCTAATGAGTTCCTGCTGGGCTTTTTCTACAAAAAAAGCCCTGGATACCAATACCTGAAAGCGGATCTGGTACTCAACTGGTAGCCAGTGCAATTGGTGTAGCGCCAGCCGAATGTGCACCCGCACAGGCATCCATTCCATGGGACAGCTTTCTTGAGTTCAGTCAAGTATAGCAAGGTGGGAGTTTTCATTTTTTTTTCTGCAGGTTGACAACGCGCTTGGTATCTTCCAGTGAAAGCAAGCATAGAAGTCCCTTCTTAAGGGGACTTAAGAAGTCCCTTCCCCAAGTAGGAGCCGTGGATTTCCCCATCTTATGTTCTTCACACATGCACCTGCCAGCTATGCTGCCATCAGTCTTGTTAATTGCTATTGCATTCCTTTCCCTTTCACTATCCCTTGGCTGTAATGCTTATCTCTACAGAAGTGCAGGAGGATATTGTGTTGTCTAGAAGTCTCTCGTCCATCGTGAGAGATTCCCAATTCCCAGCTTTTGCCACCTAACCGTTTCCTAACTCTGCCCACGCGCGGGAGGGTGCCCTATTGGCACAATATGGGGGGTTGCATAAGAATGCCCTATATCCTATCTGGTTCTATGGGTTGCCGCCATTCCTAACAGTGCCTATGTTATTGCATCTATAGTTTTGCAATAAAAGTATAACCGTTCCTGAATGTGTGTACTTCGTTGTGAGCTGTGGGTTCTGACAGCACCATTGACTGGATCAGACTCTGCTAGCGCATCACCAAGGGGTTTATTAGTCAGCGCTGCTCTCCTACCTGTGTCTGGACTGGGAAGTAAGAAAACTGGGGGAGGGGGCCCGAAGGATTCCTTTTAAAAATACCCTCTTGGGCCATGCTTTGCCGTGATACAGTTCTATTTTAAACTAGGGGTGGACAAGCAAGAAAAGATTACTTCCTATATGAACCATTACAATAAAACTGTATGAGGAGTGGTCCTCTTTCTGCCCTTGAGGAAAGAAAGCAATAACTCCATTTTAGGTTGCCCAGTAAAGATTTCAGACTTGGATGAGTCTGGGGTAGGGTTGCCAAATGGGCCTGGGGGGTGGGGAATCCCCCTCTTCGGAGCCCCAATTTCTGCCCCGGCGGAATCGCGGCCCGGGGGAACCCTGCCACCAAAGCTGCGTCACCAAAGGTGACGCAGCCACGTTGCTGACGTCGGGGGCGTGGCTGAGCTCATCGGGGGGTCTCAGCCCACTGTTCCAGCCTATCTAGATCATTTTGAATCCTGACTCTGTCTTCTTCAGAATTAGCCATCCCACCCAGCTTTGTGTCAATGGCAGATCTGATGAGCATCCCCTCTATTATGTCTTCGTCCAGGCCATTTATAAAAACATCGAACAACACCGGGCCCGGGACCGAGCCCTAACGCACTCCACTCGAGACTTCCCTCCACGTAGACGCAGAGCCATTTACGAGCACTCTTTGGGTATCTTAACTTCTGTAAAACTGTATGCTCTTGCCAGGCTCGGATGCTTCTGAAACGAGGCCTCAGCACGTAATATCTACAGATAGTCTCTGAGTGCTTCTGATCTGCACAAGGCCATATAATTGTGTTGCTTCTATGCAGGGCTTTTTTTGTAGAAAAAGCCCAGCAGGAACTAATTAGCATAGGAGGCCACACCCAACAGCTGAAACTCATTAGCATATCAGGCCACACCCTGACAGCACAGCTCATTAGCATACTTGGCCGCAGCCCCGTGTTGCCAGAAGTGTGGTCATCCAGCCACCCCCACCTTTTACTTCTTATTCTGTTTACCTTGTTTGTTGTCAAAACCCAGGGCCTTTTTTTGTAGCAGGGACTCCTTTGCATGTTAGGCCACACACCCCTACTGTAGCCAATCCTAATGAGTTTCTGCTGTTGGGTGTGGCCTATTATGCTAATGCATTCCTGCTGGGCGTGGCCAACTTGGGAGCCAGCCGGAACGCCGTTCCTGTGCGTTCCTGCCCCAAAATAGCCCTGCTTCCATGTTTCTTGCCTCTCTCCAAGGCTATTTTTGCCTCTATTCTGGGTCTCTAAACTCCCTTTTCGGCATATTTAGCCAAGAGGCCAGTCTAGCTCTGGTTCTGTGTTCAGGAACATCCTCCATGCCCTTTTCGGTCAAGGCTTAACAGTTCCTCTACATTTCTGTCCATATCTGGGACACTGGAAAGTTTCTTCAGTGAAAGCAAAAGGAAAACAGTAACATCAGGGGCACAACAAACAAATACAGAAGTCTTGTGCAACATTAGATACAATTCTGGCAGACCTGGAGGTACAAAATGCCAGTTTCGTGGCACAGAACCAGTGCTAAATGACTCGGAAATGACAGAGATGTTGCTCTCTCAGCCATCCCTTCTCGTTGGTTCCTTGCGATCTCTTGTGTAAAATTCATAGGATCATAGAATGTTAGAGTTGGATGGGACCTTGCAGGTCATCTAGTCCAACCCCCTGCACTCTGCAGGAGCATAGCTGAAAGATAGCCCTACATACCTACAACATACCCGAAAGATGGTTGTCCAGCCTCTGCTTGAAAACATCCAGCGAAGGAGCATCCACCACCTCCCGAGGCTGTCTGTTCCACTGCTCAACCACTCTTACAGTTAGGAAGTTTCTCTTGATATTTAGCCAGTAACGACTCCCTTGTAATTTCCACCCATTAGACCTAGTCTTGCAATCCGGAGCAAGAGAGAATAGATCTGCTCCATTTTCTACATATGACAGCCCTTCAAATACTTGAAGACTGCAGTCACGTCCCCTCTAAGCCTTCTCTTTCCCAGGCTAAACAGACCCAACTCTTTCACCCTTTTCTCGTAAGACTTGGATTCCAACCCTCTCACCATCCTGGTTGCCCCCTTCTGGACACGCTCGAGCTTGTCAACATCCTTCCTAAGATGTGGTGCTCAAAACTGGACACAGGACTCCCGTACTTCATTTTACTAATTTTATTTGTGACAATTTTAGCACCTTTTTCTCCCAAAAGGATTCAGGATAAAGGGTATTCTGAGGATCCTGGTGTAGATCTGCTTGGTTTTGATGCTGTAGATGACGGGGTTCATCAGGGGTGGGAGGAGGATGTAGATGTTGCCCATGACGACGTGGAGGAGGGGAGAGGCATGCCGGCCAAACCGGTGCACAACAGAGAGCCCGAGCACCGGAACGTAGAAGACCAGGACAGCACAGATGTGGGAGACGCAGGTGCCCAGGGCCTTGCGGTGGCCTTCGTCCCCAGAGGTCATGCCCAGGACTGCCTTCAGGATCAGGCTGTATGAGAGGAGGATGAAGAGGAGGTCAGAGCCCATGGTGAGGAGGATGAGGGTGAGAGCGTAAAGGCTGTTGAAGGCTGTGTTGGCGCATGCCAGGCGGATCAGGTCCTGATGGAGACAGTAGGAGTGAGAAAGGACAGCCCTTGGGCAATACGGGAACCGCAACATAAAAGGCACAGGAGGCAGCAAGAACAGGGTGCTTCTCAACAGGAGAACAAGACCCATCGTAGCCACCCTGGTGGGGGTCACGAGAGCAGCGTACCTCAGAGGGAAGCAGATGGCCAGGAAGCGGTCTATCGCCATGGCAAAGAGCACGGCGGACTCCATGAAGGAGAAGGAATGAACAATAAAGAGCTGAGCGATGCAGGCGTGTTTGCTGATCTTCCTCAGCTGGAACCAGAGGACTCCCATGACGGTGGGCACGGTGGTGAGGCAGAGTCCCAGGTCGGTGGTGGCCAGCATGGCCAGGAAATAGTACATGGGCTGGTGCAGGCTGGGCTCCGTCCAGATGACGTACAGGATGGTGCAGTTGCCCAGTGCTGCCACCAGGTAGGCGGAAAAGATGGGGATGCCGATCCAGTGGTGAACCATCTCCAGCCCTGGGAAGCCGCTCAGGCCGAGCGCGGGGTTGCTGACGTTGGCGGGGGTGAAGGGGGTCATGATGAGTCACACGTGGCACCTTCCCAGTTCCTCTGCGGAATGCCAGAAAGGAAGGGAGGGAAACGCCACCTTCAGGAACTGCTCTGGGCTCCTGCGAGGCAATCCACGGCCAGATTTTCAAGCTTGAGTGATCTCTAAAACTGCTGATCAGGCGGGCAGGATGGAGGAGCGGTTGACCTCGGGAGAGGCCGGTCATCAAATGTCAGAGAACCTACACAGACCTTGAAAGGGCACCAAGGACCAGGGTGTGGAGGCAGGCTCCTGTCTTGGCCAATTGCCGGGTTTTACGGACGCGGGTAACTCAAAGGCAGCCCTGCCAGGAAAACTGCAGCCGCTGGGGTTTTCCCCCCTTCTTTGGATGGAAATGGCTTTTAAGTCCTCTCTCCAAGGAACCAAGCCTCGCTTATGGAAAACCCACTGAGGTGCTTGAAAGATCTGCCAGCCCACCGACCGGCTGCTCCGGCTCCTTCACAGGCCTTTGCTGAGGCTCCTCTCGCCGGCAACGCCCGCTCGGCCCGAGAGCCACCGTGGTGTCATGGTTAAGAGCAGCGGGCCCTGATCCGAAGAGCCGACTTTGATTCCCCACTCCTCCTCCTCCTCCCCAGGAAGCCTGCTGGGTGAGCGTGGGCCAATCACCGTTCTCTCTGAACTCTCTCAGCCCCGCCTGCCTCACAAGGTGCCTGTGGAGGGGAGGGGAAAGGAAGCAGGTTGTGAGCCACTCTGAGACTCCTGAAAGGATATAAAAAACCAGCTCTTCCTCTTGTTCATGGAATGCAACATGTTGTAAAGCAGCCAGCCTTCAGTTCCGTTCAGTTCATTGCTCACCGTCCTTAGACCAGTAATACTACAAAAAAAGAAGAAGTCCACCTTTACAGAATTACATAATTTTAAAACACATCAATAAGACATTACAAGCAGATTAAAAATGTAACCTAACGTCTAGCTGCTGTGACTATCTAAGCACCATAAAGGTGCCACACGGAAGCAACCAGCGTGGTGTCGTGGTTCCGACTGGCGGCCTCTAATCTGGCAAACTAGGTTCGATTCCCCAGTCCTCCTCCCCCCCTCCGGGAAGCCTGCTGGGTGACCTCGGGCCAGTCACAGTTTCTCTCTGAGCTCTCTCAGTCCCCCCCCCCTGCCTCACAGGGTGCCCCTTGTGGGGAGATGAAGGGAAGGTGATTGCAAGACTCCGCTGGAGAGCTGAAAGGAGGGAAGAGCCCTGAATGCCACAGAGCAGGAGAATGCAGAGGGTTTCCTTGCACGTAGTGCCACTGCCCCCTATATTGAAGGCCGTACAACCAGGCTTTGACGTCACCGCATGTAGTCATAACATTCCCTGAACTCTGCAGTTGCCAGCTACTTTCACAATTGTTTTAAATTGTATTTTCTCGTGTACGCAACAAGATATTATCTTGATTCTTTCACTGTAGTATTCCAGACACTTCACACTAGCTTACAGTGTTACTGAGTTCAGTTTCCCTTGCATATTTGAGTGTATGTTTCATATAATTTACAAGCATATAATATTGGAGAGTGGTGGATGTCTGTTGTATGATGGTATTGTCTATTCTCACTCTATTTCAGATTTTTTGTGGGCAGATCAGTGGGTTTTGCTTCAGTTTGCCACAACAAATCCAGAAGGGAACTGGGGGGTTCTGCACATCCCCTTCTTCTGCTCAGTATTAAAGCCAGCCTTATAGACTAGAATTTTCAAAGGACACTTAAAAGCACACTGCTTGCATCAAAGATGACAGAACAATGAATGTGGTTCATCACACGGCTGTCATCCCCACTTTGCATGTGAGCATAAATTGTCAAATAATAGTAATACTAAGAGTTTAATAACTTCTGGTTTTCAGTATTACTTTTTATTTAACATTGACGACACAGCATGAGATAGTAATATGCACAAACTCATACTTTGGTAAGACGTCTTCACATACAGTAAACTTCAATCATAATCTCCAGTTACCAAAAAAGAACAGCTACACAGGATATTGGTGTACCATCACAAACGTTCAAGGGAACCAACAAATGTAATATAAAGACAGTACAACAACAAATTAATCCTCTTCTTTTCATCAAACAGTTCTGTCTACCATAAGACGTCACTGGTTTGAAAGTGAAGAACACATACCTGTAAAGCAAAAGCACTCCAGGTAATTTAAATACACA